AAATATTCGTCTGCGCCTATTAACCCTAAAATATACTTTTTACTCCAAGTTAGGGATTTGTATCTAAGGAAATTAACAAAGCTTTATTTCACGAATTAAGGCATGCCTGGTACCTAACGAGCCATCAAATGCACAAGTCTCCGTGGATGCATTAGTACAATCGTCAAAAATACTCGGGGTTTTTAAAAAATAAAGTTTAGTTTAGGTCATCTTATTTGAGAGAAACGTAGGTATGTACCTTTGAACTCCAAATTTTTTACATGCATGGTGTGGTATCAAAAAATAATATCTCAGTTTAATGGTGATGCCAAATGATTCGAGACAATAAGGTGGAACAAAGAAAAAAAGAGCAGACATTGAAAAACCCTTTCGATTTTTTAGGAGAAAAAAGTCTCGCGCATTGGAGGGCAGTTCGCTAGGTCCAAATGAGGAGAGAATCGTAGGAGTCATGGAGAGCATCCTCGTAGTGTGGAAGTGTGTTGGAATAAAAATGTTATAATAGTCGTCGCGGTTGTGGTCCGCCCTAGTTTCCTTTCATTCTGTCTAACCGTTTTACAAGCAAACCAATATATTCCAGTTAAAGAGACAGCGTTTCTAACTCCACCTGTGCTTTCTTTTATGATAAAAGTGTTGAAAATCTTCACTTCGAGGCATGACCAATTGTGCCCAAATTTAATAAATTTTGGTTAACATCCACCAATATATTTACAACCGCTTTAGTGGAATGGGCATACTTAAACTAGTGCTTAAACTATACTATACTTAAACTACTTTGCATCTCAACTATAGCAATGGTCTCCGGATTGACTCTAATGTCTCAGCTAGTAACAATGCTTATTCTAGATGATCTTGTAAACTTGCCAGACAGCTTGTTGAGTACACTTAATACGTTTAAAAGTCACTTTTTCCATGTTAGTTGGGGACATTTTAGTTTGATAGAAAAGATTCTTTGAGATAAAGGAACAAAAGTTATGGTAAATTTTCGACGCTGGCACACCAGGTCGTCTTCGGACGTGAGGGAAATGCGTAAAGAGCAGTGCGCATTTTTAAACGCGCCAAAAAATCGATAATGGTTCCATCAAATTATATTTCTTGGGATGCCTATTTTCAAATTTATACGAACATTTTAATTTCTCTGGATTAGGATGCGAGAATAGATTGTAAAAAGATTGCAAAGTGGATAATGTGGATAAGAGTGGACATGTCAGGTCAGGCCTACATTTCTGTGCTCAGCTCCAGTTCTACGAAGAATGCAATTTCTGTAACCCTCAGCTAACTGCATTATGTTTTGTAAGCAGAAATTCAATGCGGGACAACGGGTTGCAATCGAGTGAAGTGGACACGCTGGAGAGCACACACCCAAACGTCCGAGCGGAGGACAGCTAAACCACCCCAAGATTGGCCATTAACATGACGACCGACCCCTACAGCCATTTTGTTTATGTTATTCCTCTTGTTATCACCTCCTTCAGACGGAATTCAAGGTTAGAGTAAGTGCTAATAAAGTGTTTTACTCACCACACACACAGTATTTTCATCATAAACTTTATTTAAAGCCGTGTTTGTTGTTCTAGCGGTAAAAATTTGTCTACAGCGACACTGTCCGATAAGTAAAAGAGGCGGTGTTGAATAAAGAAGCAGCAGAATGTTAGATACTAAGGCTTCATACAATATTCGGCCTCTTTACACCCCTTGTGCCTATTATTACTTAACTTATGCAGCATCACATTTACGTTTTTATGCTAGTCTTACCGTGACAGCCAACTTCAGTTTTGGCCTGTTTACTTTCCGAGGAGATTAATGTGCGAACGTGGGGTAAATCCTTCGGTACAAACCTTTGTAGGTCCGCCCCAAAGTACCGTTTACGCTTTAATTCATACAAGCTCGTCTCGCGGCAGCCTCTCAGACGTAGTATGAACCTATCGAGGGGTGTTAATGCCAGAAGGTTTAACCCTAACGGCTGCGATCTTCCAGGCCTGGTTCCTTAGGAGATGGGAGAAGACACGGGATGGCCAGAGTAGTAGGAATAATATGTTCTTTACAGAATGAATTGGAGAATAGTTAGGACGAAGTACCGGCTGCCGGAGTGCACGTCTAGCTGCG